GGAGGATTTCTCCCATTAACGCCTTTATTCGTAGCATTAGGAGCACTTGGAAGTCTATCTGGCGGTACAGCAGGAATTATTAAAACATTCAATGCTATAAAAACTGGAAAGGAGCAGTTATTGGAGGCGAAACGTCATAATAATACAATGGAAGCTGTAGGTATTTATTTTAAATAACAAAACTTATTTTATTTTCTGTTGTACACAATTTGAGAAAAGTTTGAATAATAAAATTTTCTATTTGATTGAGGAACCACAAAAATCACATAAATCTAAAATTTCCAAAATTACAGTTGAAATGAACACAGTACAATAAAAGGTAATAACACAAATACAGACCCTACAATACTCCCCCTTCTAGAGAATTAATGTTATATAAATTAAAAGTAACTCGTTTCTTATTTGATGTTGTGTTATTCATTGTATTAGTGTTTGTTTCTGGTATTAGTTCTGTTTCAATGATTGCTGGTTTTAGTCTGTCTATCGGAATTGTTTTAACCTCATTATCTACTTCAAGTTTGAAATATTTTTTGTTTTTTTCAACAACCTTATAAGGTCCTTCGTATGGTTGTTGCAATGATCTTTTATTAATAACACGCATAAAAACAAATTTACAAGTCTCCAAATCCTTTGGTATATATACACCAGTATCAGAATTTTGATTATGCCTTAAATTTGATTTAACATTTTTAAAATGTTCCCGTAAATTACCTAAAACTTCAATTGGGGAAAATTTTTCTTCAGATGGAACAACAAGTTCACCGGGTAGGCGTAAATTTTGCCCAAAAACCATCTCAGATGATGTGGCTGAAATACTTTCTTTATACATCGATCGTAAACCAAGAAGTATTATCGGCAGCTCATCATACCAATTGTTGATTCCATTTCCAGCCATTATCGTAGCTTTTAACTGCCTGTGAAACCGTTCTACCATACCATTCCCTTGAGGATGATATGCAGAAGTTGTAACGCGATGACTACCAAGCAATTTTGTTAGTTCCGAAAACAATTTTGACATAAACTGAGTACCCTGATCTGTAGTGATTTTTAACGGTACCCCAAAACGTGAAACATATTCTCTAAAAAATTTATTTGCAACCACTGCCGCTGAAATGTCCTTTAATGCATATGCCTCGGGCCAACGCGTGAACCTGTCAATTATTGTAAAAATGTAACGATGTCCTTTCGATACAGGAAGAGGTCCAACAATATCTAAATGAATATGATCAAATCTACTTTTGGGAATCGGAATTTTAATTACTGGAGATTTTGTGTGACGATTAACCTTCGATTTTTGACAATTTATACATTCTTTTGACCAAATATTAATTTCTTTGTGCATTTTTGGCCAATAGTACTTTTTAATAATTAGACGACGTGTAGCTTTTGTACCAGGATGTGTAATGCCATGTAGCATATTAAACACTGTCTTGCGTAAACAATTTGGAACAAATGGCCTAGGATTCTCACCTGTCATTTCACACCAAATATTAAAATTTAAAAGTGGAATTTGAATTAATTTAAGGTTATGTGATGTGTCTCCAGATTTTAATGTGTTTAGTTCCTCGTCCTGTTTTTGTTCATTTTGTAAAACTTTGAAATTCAGTTCTGTACCCTTAATTGCATCAACTTCGAAAGCTCGAGATAATTTGTCAGCTATAATGTTCTCCTGTCCTTTAATATATCGTATGTCATTAGTAAATTGTGCAATGAATTCCATATGTCTAGTTTGTCTCGGACTACGTTCGGTTTTTGAACTCAAAGCATATATCAAAGGCTTGTGATCCGTAAAAACTGTAAACTGTCGTCCTTCTAAAAGATAGCGAAAATGTTTAATGTTCAAATAAATAGCTAGCAACTCTCTGTCAAATGCACTGTACTTAACTTCGGATGGAGAAAGTTTCTTAGAAAAGAAAGCTAGTGGCTCTGATTTGTTATCAAACGTTTGATGTATGACACCACCAATTGCCGTATTAGATGCATCTACATTTAAAGAGAGTTTGGCATCTTTGTTAAAATGATTTAACAATATCGTAGACGCAAACTTTTCTTTAATACATTCAAAGGCTTTATTAGTTGTGTCATCCCAAATTAAGGACTTGTCACGTTTCTTAGTTGTTCGATTGATTAAATCGTAGATAACTGCCGTAAACTCAGCTAATTTTGGTACATATCGATGGTAATAATTAACCATGCCTATAAATTTCTGCGCCTGTTTAATAGACTTAGGACGTTCAAAACTACGAATAGCTATCACTTTTTCATCAGAGGGTCTAATTCCTGCCCCAGAAATATTATGTCCTAAAAAGTCAACACTTGTTACACCGAAAGTACATTTACTTGGTTTGATATTTAACCCGTACTCTGTTAGGCGTTGGAAAAGTATACGGAGATCTTTAAAATGCTGTTCTTCATTTTCACTTGCAACCAATAGATCATCAATATATGTAAAAACAAAATCTAAACCACTAACTACTTCATTAATAAATCTTTGAAAAGTGTGCGCTGAATTTCTTAGTCCGAAAGGCATTCGTATAAATTCAAACATACCGAAAGGTGTCGTTATTGCAGTTTTATAGATATCCTCTTCTGCCATTGGAATTTGGTGGTAGGCCCTTACCAAATCTAATTTCGAAAATATATACTTATTTCTGAGATTCATGTTAAAATCTTGAATATGAGGTAAAGGATAACGGTCCGGTACAGTCACAACATTAAGTCTCCGAAAATCACCACAAGGACGCCAGTCATTTAGTTCTTTTTTAGGTACAAGATGCAGTGGAGATGCTACACAAGAATTTGAAGGTCTACAAATCCCTGTCCTCACTAAAAAATCGAATTCAGTTTTGTCTACTTTAAATTTAATCGGATCCAAGCGCCTTGGCTTAGAGAATGGCAGATTTCCTTCAGTAAAAAGTCTGTGAACCGTAGAATGTTTAACCGGTTTCGAATAATCTGGTTCAGCGATCAAAGAAGGAAACTCCTTCAACAATCTTGTATACTTGTTAGACTGGGTCGGTCCCCATACAAAAAAAAAAAGTTGCTAATGTCCGCCCCTAAATTTAAAGATTATGTTGAGAGGGTTCTGGAAAAATTTTTTTTTTTTTTTTTTAACCCTCCGAAATACAGCCGAAATGGTTTTTTCGTTGTAACTTGGTTATTTGACGGCCGATTTTTAAAATTGATATGTCATTATTTTTGTCTTGAGAAGCTTCACTTTTCGTTCTTATGTCTTTTTAAGCTTTGAAGTCGCGTTCGCATGATAAGGGCAGAAACAAAATTTTACCCCCCCTAAAGCATATTTTTTTCCTTACCAAACGAAAGTACTTAAAAATTCAAGAAAATGTTGCCTTCAAACTATATTACTAAAATAATCAACAAAAAAGTTATTTCACTTACAATATTTATTGCTACTTAAGCAAATTTTGGCGCGAATCAAGGCTTTTATATTGGTCTCGGCTTTCTAATTTTGCAAAAATGTGGCCCAGGCGCTTTTCATCAGTGACAGCACTTGCAGACTCACTAACAACACGCACAAACCGTTCGGTATTCTGGGAATGACAGAGGAACTCTAAAAAAAAATGATTTAAAAGTACTATAAGACCCGTGAAGTTTTTAGTTTGAAGATATTTACCTGGGATATTTATCACTTCATTTTCCGAAAATTGAAACATTGTAAGTTCACTATCTGGGTAGAACTGCACACAAGGGGGTTCCGTAATCTTAAACTGACTCCAATCGATCATGCTGACATACGACTTACTTTCAAAGTTTATTACGCCACGCTTTGGGACCTTGAACACGCGAAGCCCTGCTGGTGGATATTGACGTGCTGTTTTGATTTTTTCGTACCCATCATTACGTATCTCTGGATCAGCGTCGGTTATCATGGCTAATAATATATTTTCTGGGTGAAAATAATATGCATTATTTTCTATAGCTGAACGTATAATGGCTTGAACAGCATTTGATAGTTCGCGTATCCAGCAAATATACTTAAAAACGTGTCTACTTCCATGAATTGCTTGTGGCTGGCTCTTTACAAGAAACCAGAATGGTGCATAAACTTTCACAACAAACTCTACCATGTTTCGCAACTCCGCTGACGGGCTTTCTTTGGAAACATATACCCGAAGTAACCTGGAACCTGTTGTAAGCCACCGAGCTGTACTGACGGGACCGGGGCTCTTACTAGCGAGATATTCATCGCATTCACCATTATTTACTGCCAAAACCATATCAAATAAATAACGCTGATCATTGCGTAATTCCCAAGAGCCAATATTTTCAGGAATAACTCCCATAGCAATAGCCTCAAAACCACTTACAACCTGATAAGGAAAATATATGTTTTTGTTTATAACATTAACTATTATAGTGTGGACAACCTACCGGGTATTTGGTGCAAGTCATAATTTCAGACCCCAACACCCCTGGCCAAACACCAGGTCCTTTCTGCTTGCCAATATAATGCGTTAACAACTTTTTTAGAGGCAACTCGTTGAAATGTAACAAACACACATTCCACTGCAAGGGCCTTTGTAAATAACGTTCCATTTGTGCATTTACTCCAATTTTATATCCAGTATTGACAACTGTACCATCACAGCTTATAGCTACAAGTTCGTTTAAGCAATATTTTTGGGTATTAAGAAAACTGTTGGAGGAATTTGTGGGGGCGAATTTTGTTAGCTGACCTAACCATGGGTAAACGACTTCATAGCTTAAAAGGAAATGTGATGACATGTTAATTTTAAAAATCGGCCGTCAAATACCCAACTTTCAACGAAAAAACCTTTTCGGCTGTATTTCGAAGGGTTAAAAAAAAAATAAAATAAAAATTTCGAAATCCTCTCAACATAATCCTTAAATTTAGGTTACTCTGTTGCATAAAAAAAA